TTATTGTGAGGAAAGGGTTTTTTTTTTTTTTCCTGAATGAGATGAGTAAGGAGTCATTTTCTATGGGATTCTCAAGAAATGGATTCAGCTGATTTAAAAGGGGCAGTGGGTGGGGGCGGATAAAAGAACCTCAGAGATCGAAATGGTGGTTAGCTGGATCCAATTGGCATCTGGGCAGCCTCAGGGACGGAGGGCTTTTCTCTGTTCTCAGGGTCAGTCTCATAGATGAGAACCAGCAAATGACCCTATAATCCTAACTGCCCAGGCCGCCCCACCCACTGTCACCTTCAAACTTGAGACTTGAAGCACCAGAGAAGAAACTTCCTTGCATGACGGATGCCTTTGGGACTCTATTTTGCATTCGCACTGATTTATCCCTGTTTGTTTTCTGACCAAAAGCATGGAATTCTCGTAACTCTTTTACGGGGTGGGGGTTGGATGGGAAGGCAGTTTCTTACTGCGCCACAGAGGGAGAATTACTGGATTACACAAGGGGCAAGGTATACTTCAGGTCAATCGAAACTCATTAGGCTCAGTTGCCTAGGTAACAACAATTGACTGTGCTGTGTACTGTGGTGTACTGACAGATGAGGTAACTAAGACTGTGGGAAGTCAAGTGACATGACCAAGGTCACACAGCATCAAATAATGGAGCCAAGAATCAAACCCAGGTCCATGTACCTGACATATAATTTCCACAAAATCCCTACTTTATTAAGCAGAAAACCCTCCTGCTCAGAGTCCCTTGCTGAAGAACTGGCAGCAGATATACAGCTTAACTGCTTGATTGACTACCATGCTTTCCTTCTCTGAACTTATTAATTAGTATGCAAAGCACTGACTTAAACACGGAAAGAGGTTATCAAGGAGCCTTCAATCAGGGATGTTTAGCATCTTTTTCTGTCAAGAACTATTTTGGGGGAAACTGGAATGTGCTGGATTTTGTGTTAGGAGGAAAGAAGAGTTAACAAAAACAAACATCATCCCCAGGCTCCTGGAGTTGACATTCCAGGGAGAAAGACTGTTGACCAAAATAAATCATTCAGAAAAATATAAAATTGTACCTATATGAAGCATTACAAATAAGACATTCAAGATATGGGCAAAGCTGTAAAGGAATAATTGGATTCAATGAGAGGTCAGTGGAGGCTTCTCAGAGAAAGTGACCCTGGGACTAAACAGAAGTTTGAGAAGAAATTAACTGGGCAAGAAAGAGGAGAGTGGGGCCTTCCCTGCAAATGATTATTTGATCATCCTAACATCCCTGACTGTAGATATTGCAATTGTCCTTGTTTTCCAGTTGAGAAAACTGAGGCATGGGAGGTAAAATAATTTACCCAAGTTTACCCTGCTAAGTAAGTTGTAAAATCAGGATTTGAACCCAGGAAGTCTCCCTTAAATATTAGACTTCAGGTGCTGTATGTTTAGCCACTAAACTATATTGGTTCTCAAAAGGATCAGCATAAGCAAAGGTCCTGTGGTTGGAGGAGACAGTGTACATTCCTCCATTGGACAACCTAAAAGAAAATCAGCAAAGCTGCACAAGAAAACAAGGAATTAGATGGTGCTAGCTGAGGGACAAGAAGAGTAGAGTATGTAAGCCCTGTAGTTAAGTTTTGTCTTTATCCTTAGAACAGAAAGAAGCCATGTAGAGGCTTTAAGTAAAGCCTCTTAGATAGCATTTTAAAAAGAAAACATGGCTGGGGCACCTGGGTGGCTCAGTCAGTTGAGCAACTGACTTCGGCTCAGGTCATGATCTCACAGTTCATGAGTTTGAGCCCCGCATAGGGCTCTGTGCTGACAGTTCAGAGCCTGGAGCCTGCTTCAGATTCTGTATCTCCCTCTCTCTCTGCCCCTCCCCTGCTCATGCTCTGTCTCTCTCTCTGTCAAAAAATAAATAAACATTAAAAAAATTAAAAATAATAAAAAATAAAAATAAAAAGATGACATGGCTACAATATGCAGAGTAGATTGAGGAACAAGGACAGAAGTAGACCAATTAAGAGACTATCCAGGAAGTTTAGATAATAGATATTGGTAGCTTACCTAGTGTGGTGAAGGTGAGAAATCTGAGAGGATTTGAGAAATATTGTGATTGTAAATGTCACCAACTGATTGGTGATTGATTGGGCAAGAGGTGATGGAGAGAGAAATGTCAAGAATGACTGTCAAGTTTTGGCTAACATAATTGGAGAAAGATAGGTACCATTAGCTAAAATAGAAACACTGGAAAGGGATTGACTTCTCTGGAAGAAAGATGAAGTTGAATTGGGCATATTGAATTTGAGGTGCCACTGAGACCCCCCAAGAAAATATATCAAGTAAGCAACTGGATATATGGTCCAGAGTTCAGAAAAGAGATCTTGACTGGAGATAAAAATGTTTTATTTGTTTATAGGTTAGTAATTAACCATACGCATGGGTAAAACCGTCTAGGGAAAGAGAAGAATTAGAAAAAGGGAGAACCAAGGAAAGAGCCTTTCACAAATTCTAACATTTGTGATCAAGGATATGACAATGTAATAGAAAAGGAGCTAGAAGGAGTAGTAGTAAGAGGGGAAGGAGAAAATAAAAAATAAAGTTTTATCATGTAAGCCCATGTAAGCCATGATTATCATCATCATCACATCATCATCATAGGTCTGATGTCTGAGTTCCTTATAGAGAAAATGTGTCCTTCCATCATTTTGTCCTGGTGGGCACCCAGATTTTTCTGATACAGGTTAATAAGCTTTTAACTATGCACCTAGAAATTTAAACAAAAATTATTTTGTGATACACTTCAGATGATTATGTATCTAAAGAGTTACTGAGGACCATCATAAAAAGTCAAAATTCTAATGCTGGAATTAAAGGTAGCTGAAAGCTAAAAACATTCTTTTCTCAATTTACAGCTGAGGAGACAGATGCCTGGAGAAATGAGACAAATTGATTGGAATGCCATATTCCATGACAATAATCTGAAAACCTAGAAAATCATAAATATTGAACCTGAAAAATTACTAGGTCCAGTCCCTTTACTTGCAGGTCAAGAAATTGAGACCCAAAGAAAGAAAAATAAAGTTCTGCAAATATATGCTTAAATTTTATGAAAAACTGATTTTCCGCAAAGCATCATCCATAGAAACCATTCATTTCATCTTAAATTTTTTTCATTCTAACTTCTCACTCAAAACTTTTGGCTGAAAACCTACATAGCCATGTTATGGTGAATTATATTTTACAGATTAGTTTGCACTTAAGTGAACATTCTAAAATTATATAAATGTACTTTTGATGTCAAGATAAACGAGTAGCAGAGTATTAGATATTCTATTTTAATGCTTTGAGAATTGGTTCTAGGAGAAGCTTATTTGGAATAAACATAAATGATGTAATAAAGGAAGATTTGTATACCATGGATAAAGCCAATGTTTCTTCAGATTAATAATAATGCCTATCACATATTGCATATTTATGATTTGCTGAACACTGTTAACTATCTAATTTGGTTCTCACCACAATCCTATGAGACTGACACAACTATTATCTCCATTATAAATAAGATAATGACTAGGTCCTTGAGAGGATAACATTACTGAAGACCCTCTGTAGGGTATGGTTATGATTCAAAGACAAGGACATCTGACAGAGATGGTGTTCTTAATCACACAGTGCTTTCTCACCAATCTGGGACTATCTGATTACATGTAGGTAACATAAAATATTAGAAGTGGAAGGAATCTAAGACTCATTGATGCTGGTAGTTTTCACATTTAAAACAATAGAAACCATCTTTCAAATAAACTCGAACACAGAAAGGCCTTACAGAAAACTAATAACAACAGAGTTGTTCGAGCTGAAAAAGGACAGAGGGTTCTCACTAGCTCAAACTTTTTCTTCCATAATCTTAGGGTTTTAAAGTCTCAGAAAACTAC